ACCTTTCCTGTTTGTTACAGAGAAATACTGTGGCCTTACCTACATATTGGCAACTCTTGTATTATTCTCTATGCAAAACATCTATTTAGAGGACTAGTACTCAATTGACAATTATATAAATAGTTTTTGTGATATAATTACAAATTGTGTAATATATAAAAGCATTCATTTTTTAAATGCAAAAATACAACTCTTCTGTAAATAATGCATAAAAACCTTTTTGTGAATTAAAAAAAAATCCCCAAAATTATTGTTTGAAATGAAAAGTAACATAAATTTTTACGTTAATGTGTTGTCCTCACAAATATTGATCCCATGGTTTCCAATGTATCTGACATACAGTGAGTGGAAATCCTAAAAATGAAACTTTATTTGAGTGAAAGCTTTAGAATTTTTTACTTATTCTGTGTACAACATTGAAATTATGTTTTTAACCTTAAATTCTTTGCCCTCATATATATAGTTAACGCCGATTGGAAACACATTTTATTTTATTCATATATCTGTCAAAAAGTTTGCCTTTTATTCATAATTTTTTTTTCACTCTCTTTGCGAACACAAAACGCGTCAAAATATGTGATAATGGAGTGCCTATTGTATGGGCCCTCCCGAGCACCTAATCAGTGAATAAAATGAATTATTGATTAGGATATCAACATATATCGGGCCCACGACTGTCGACTATAGACTCTGCCATTTCTCAGTCAAAGGGAGTCAATGTTTCTATCAATTCAGGTATATTTCGATGCTTTCAATGGATATTGATTCCAATGAACATTATGTGAACATCTCTTCCCATTCATTGCCTATACCACTCGTCTCTCTCTCTCTCTCTCTCTCTCTCTCTCTTTCTTTCTTTCTCTCTCTCTCTCTCTCTCTCTCTCCACAATATATTGTTACCGTATTAGTGAAGCAATGGTTAGGAATTGTCGAAACGCCTAATGAGTAATAATGTAATAATAATATGAATCAAACACTGAATCTCATTATTCTCACAATAAGTTAGAATTTGTGCATAAAATACATTTCATTTGTTTTATTGTTCCAAAATTATTGATTCAAAAATCTTTGAATTAATTATAATGTGATTCAATACATAGAAAGGGAGGTAGAGTTGGGATGCAGAGACAGTATTGGAGGCAATGATTCATAAACTAAAAGCTTAGGAAAAATGAAAACGGAAACATTTGATTAAAAATAAATAATACTTTAATACTTGTTTGGCGTAAAAATATTAATGAAATAGACTTTGAATTAGAGTTCAATGAATTCACAATCTCTTCGCAATTAGATTCCCATTGAATTAGATATTAATATGAACTCTTATTTGAAATATTATAACAATTGCATTAAAAATTATATAAAAATATTTTACATATACGATATAACTTATGTCTATCCATAGGAATTTTCAATAGAAATTATCTAATAACTTGAGCAAAAAACTTTAGTGAATAAAACATCATGCAAAGGTTTGCGCAATGTACGGTAATTACAATATTGTGGAAATGGGTTATAAATATACCGCAATACTTTTAAAAAACAATTTCATATACCTTAATTTAGGAATATCAATTTAGAATTTTAATAATATTTGTGATAGAATTGTCGATGATAAAGTTTAGTTGAGCAAATTAACTTAATTAAAAATATTTTTGTAAATAAATTTATAACGTATGCCCATGTATTAAAAGTTTGACAATTTAATTATCAAATACATGAAATTTAGTTAAAAGTTTATGTATAATAAATAAAGTTTAGTATTAATTAAAACTTTAATGAAGAATCTCAAAAGTGGATGAATTCTTTTGCTTTATTATCACATTATATTTGATTAATAATTAATATTCTCTATAATATAGATCGCGAATAAAATTGTAATACAAATCAAATTGTATAAAATATAAATATCTTCAATATATTAATGAAAACTTGATATCAAATTTAAAAATAATTAATAAAATATGAATTATCAGACAAATGAGACGGTAATGATCGCAATGAATAGCAGTGTTATTATAACCCATAAACCTGTCAAACAAAATACCGTAATTACAAACTAAATACATTCAATAAAACATATAAATCGCTAAAAGATTATAAATAAAACAATGGACAAACACTAACCACAAGTGCCTGCTTTTCTGTTGACTTTTTGTATATTTCTCGTATTCCTCAGCAGTCGATCATTGGTCTGATCCATAGTGTCTCCGATGTCATCAATTATTTCTAACGTAAGAGACATTTACAGCAAATAAGGCTCTAATTCAACAGTTACTATAAACTAAATAAATAAATATAAATATATAACCATTTTGTAAATCGATTTCAGA